ACAAATGGTGGCATATAATCTTCACCCAAGCCTGTTGGATTTGTTGTGAAAGTATGTGAATGATTTCCTCCTGGTTCAGTTGGTCGAAAAGTCTTTTTTGCCGAATGGTTATAATCTGGAGATAAAACGTCATTGCCAGCATAATATTCTGAGTTGTATAATGGATGGTCTCTTAATGAGTGACTATGGTCACCAGAAAAGTTTGTAGTTCCTGTATGAGTGTGCGGTGGAAGGTTTGCTTCTTTAATTTTCTTCGAACCTCCTGTTTCCTTTGAAGAGTTTGCACAATACAAAAACCTGTCAACTATTTGTTCCATGCACCAACACCAAACATTACTTGAGGACCTCTTGCATCCATAGATGTATAAATAGAACCTACTGGGTTCATTAAATCAAACATATGAGATATTATAGGATTGTCTCTTTTGAACTTAAATATAGTGCAACTATTTCAGGTTTCTTCTGGTTTGTGTAAGAATATTTTTTATAATATAATCTTATGTTTTCAGGGTAGGTAAAATCTTGACTATAATATTTATTTCTGTCATCTATATAATAATATACTATTCTCGTTTTTTCTATTGCATTATATCTTTTATATCTATAATAATCTAAATATAATGTTTGCTTTTGTTCATCTGCATGTAGTGTTCCTTCGTCATCTACATAGTCATAATAATATGGTGCTGGAGCTGGGTCAGGCAATGTCATATCTGCCATTTCATAAACTCTTAAATATTTCTTTTGTTCGTCTCCATATAAGTTTAAGTAGCAGTTGTTGTCTAATGGAACTTTAACTTGTGTACCATTATTCTTTATATAGCTTACATACATTTCATTGTTATTTTTCGGAATGAGTTTATACCGTATACCATTTTTTAAGGAATGTACAAACTGCCATCTAAAATATTTATTTTCTTCATTGACAGAAAAGTCACCAACAATAGTTTCAATATTTTTTGTTGTTCCTATCAAACTTTGGTATATTTCATTGACATATGTTTTATCTGCTTTATTTTCAAGGCTAACGTTTAAGTCTGTTATTTCAGATATAGAATGTGTATGTCCAACGTCACTTTTCCTGTTTAAGGTTTCTTGTAAGTTTGTAATATTTGCAATGGTATGTGTATGTCCAACGTCACTTTTACTGTTTAAGGTTTCTTGTAAGTTTGTAATATTTGCAATGGTATGTGTATGTCCAACGTCACTTTTACTGTTTAAGGTTTCTTGTAAGTCTGTTATTTCAGATATAGAATGTATATGAGTCTTTTTAGAATATTCGTTTTCAGCTCTTGTCACTTCACTTGACATTTTATTGTCAACATATGTTTTGTCTGCTAGTTCAGGATGAGTATGTTCTTTTGTTGCATATGTTTTGTTAGCTCTTTCTTCTTCTTTTGCTATTGCATCGTCTACATATTCTTTGTCAGCTTTGTTGTCAACATCTGCTTTCAAAAGAAGTTCATTTATAGGTTTCTCGTTTAAAGTTCCTTTTGTTGGATTTATACAGACAGTATTGTTCTTCTTGTCTTGAAACAGAAACTCATCTGTCATTGGGTTTAATGTCAGTTTTAAGTTTCCTTCTTTCAATGACTCAGATATCTTAGAATAGTTTGAAAAGTTTGTTGTGTTCTTATTTAGAGCTTGCATAATGAGTTGTCGGTTGTGTTGTATTTCTCTCATGGAAGCAATATCTTTCGACATTTTTATTCTAGATAAAATATGCTTTCAATAGAAAAAGAAAATTCAAGAGTTGCTACAACTAAACCATTAGATGAACTTTTTACTAATGTCGGTCAAAAGTTTGAGACAGAGACCGTAAAGCATGAAGGCTATCGTTTTGACTACCCATTAAGATGGTTAAGAGACCCATCTGTCACAAAAGCTATTGGCTTTCGTAGAATGAAGTTCATTTCAGAAGCCATACATGGTTTCCCATTTACGGTCGGTTTTGAAGTTCGATACTATAACAAAGAAAAACGTATGTATGAGAAATTTGAACAGGGAAAACTTTTACAAGTTAGTTTGCTTGTAAACTTAGAAACAACTCTTCAAGCTTTTCAAGAAAAAATAAACGATATCTATATCGAATATGCAAACCAGTATAACATTGACGAGGGAGAGTACCATCTCGATATTATTTATGACAGGAAAAATGCAACTGTTAAAATCAATAAAATAGAAGACCTTGGAGAAAACGTTTATATTTCTACAAAATATAACAACTTGGCATGGTATAGATTTATGAGGATGTTAAATCAGCCTGCAGCATATCCAGTACACCCAGACTTTTATGAAGTCGAAAACCCTAATGGAACATATGAAAATGTTTTCGACCAAGATGCTATTATTGTTCATGCTTCATTTTCTGGCGCCCAAAACTCTTTCTTATGCTTGGCAAATGACTTTTACGAAAAACCTACAAAGTTATACGAACCACCAAGTGGAAGTATTTCAGACTTTCAAGTATGGTTTACTACAGATGGAAGAAAAAGAATAATTCCATTATACCATGCGTTTTACTTAGAACTTAGTTTCATATACAACTACTATCGAACGGTAAAAATATAATTTTTTAATACGGTTGAGGTGTTGGATTTGGTTGCCAACTAGACTGTGGTGCAGGTTCAGGCTGTTGTATAACAGGAGCTTGTTCTTCTGGTTCAGGGTCTTTAGGTATAATACCAACAAACTGACCTACTCTTTTACCAATATTTTTGACTCCGTTCCAAATTCCTCTTCCTACGGTTTTTATTCCATTCCATATACCTCTTCCAACTCTTCTGAAGAAGTTTCCTATCTTACTGAAGAAACCCATTTTACTATATGTAAAAATCTAATGTCCGCCTAGTCTTTTGCGTTTCCTGTTGAGTTCCATAGCATTCTTTAACTGGAGCTCATACATTCTGTTTCTCCTCTGGTAGAAAACATATTCTGGGTCAACTCCTGTGTTCGCGTCATCTGCATAAAGTTGTTTATATCCCACTTCAGGGTTTGTATAAAACTCTTTCCATCTCATATTTGCATACCATGGTGGCAAACCTAACGCAGCGTCATTTGACATGGCAGTTTGCATTTGTACATCTGTTGGCACTTGACCATAGTTTGCCATTGCAGTTTGTATTCTAACTTCATTTGGAATATTCTCTGGGTTTGGTTGTCCAGGTTGCTGTGCATTCGCTAAGTTCTGTGCGTCCATTTAATATTAGATAAAAATATCTCTTACGAGTACATATACTGGACATTTGCAGGCATTGGTTCATCTTCATATTCTCTGTACTTTTCTGCCACGTCAAATAAATAAATGACACAATGGAAAAAACCTAAAACAAGTAGTCCTATTTCAAACCACATTTACTTACTAATAAAATTTCTTTGTTATGACACTTTCTCCGGTTTATAGGACCTCTCTCATATTCTATCTTGTCATATCTAAACTCATAGTCATGTATGTCCTCTAACCATCTCATAACGGTTTCCAAACCACTTTTATCGGATGTAAAGTAAAAGCATGGATGGTTATGTAAAACGTCTAAAGTTTCTAAAGAGTCTCTCAAAGTCCAGTCTACTTGGTATTGAAAATCCCATGTGTTATAGAACGGCGGGTCCACTATAAAGAAAACATTTTCCTTGTCTTTATATTTTTCATACAACTCTGTCCAACGACATCTCACAAACTCTATACCCTCAATATATTTTTCTATGTCCTCTTTGAAAACATTTGTATAGTTAAGATATAAAACTTTTGACATAAGTGTTTCAATGTCATGAACTCTTATAGAACCACTATATAATAGTCTAGCAGATATACTATCCCAGTCTATATATTCTGCTTTTTTCAAAACCTCTCTCACAATATTTTTGTTATCTAATGGTATACGTTCCATCTTACCTATAGGTATCTTTTCTTTTAACTCTTTCAATATATTGTTTGTGTCTGGTATATGTTTGAGACGGTCCATATAGTTGTCGAAGTCATTGCATATAATCTTTGAGTCTGGGAATATTGTATGACATAAATGGGATATATAGAAACTTCCACCGAACAAATCTACAAATGTTAGACCATTCGGTAGTTTCTTAAGTTCTCTCAATATAATATCTTTACATTTACTCTTATTTCCAAAGAACGGTAACGGAGGTTTTGTAAAATTCATTTATATATAATAATAAAAATGTTTTTTTCCTGAAAAGTGACAGAAAAGTGACAAAACATGAAAACATATATAATTTGTGAAAAGCGACACATTATATAATGTTTTCGACCCAGAAGAAGGCTTCTTCCCAGAAGCAATGGAGGAAGAAGAAGAGTCCTCCGAATTCACACCAGAAGACTAACAATTTTCCGAATAAAAACTTCATTTATACTAAACATCTTCGGGGCTAGAGGGCACGAAGTGCCTGGAAGCCCCACTACCTTTTTTTTTTTTTTTTTTTTTAAATGCACATTAAAATTATCATTTCTACAGTTTAATTTGAATTAAACCGAAAAAAATGCACATAAATTTTATATCTTATCTTTTTATAAACAATATATTGATATTGGGGAAAATTGAGAAATTTTGTAGGACCAAAAATAAATTCAAAAAAATTGATTAATTCTTTGCTATCCACTAAGATAATTTCAGATTCAATAATTAATACAAACGATAACAAAATTATTTCATTATGCATAAAATGAACATTACAATGAAAATGTATTAATTTATCTGCTTAAATTAAATCGATGAAAAAGCGTTTTGAAAATACCCATCATTTTTTTGTCTCATATCAGATAATTTTATTGACGCAGTTGGTGTATCCTGATTTTTAAATTTTGGTTTGATTTTGATTTTCGGTTTTGAGATTAATTGACAAGAATTTTTCCGGTTTAATTCAATCTTTCAAAATATAATCTATGTGATTCAATCCATCTCTAAATTACATATAAACTTTATGTTGTCATGAATTTTTCTATTCAAAATTCAATTGTTCACAAAAAATTATAGTAATCAAGATAAATGCTTTTTCTCCTGATTTATCGAGTAGTTTCAGAAAGTTTTCAATACACCACCTTTTCAACATCATTTAATAAGCTATACACAAATATACAAGGTGATTATTTCTTTTCGAACTGCATTTTCCAAGATATTCTTACATATGATAACTCTCCGCTTTGGTTTTTTGGTGGAACAAATACTAAATTATTAGAATTATTCCGATGCACTTTCCATCATTGTACTGCCAATCAAGGCGGATCTTTGAGTATCACAGATTCTAAGAATTCTAACTACAATTTTCGAGCACGATTTTTATGTGTTAGTAACTGTCAAGCGTCGCAACAAGGAGGCCTCTGGTTCTTTCGTTTTCCAAACACTCAAAATTTCGATTATATTACTACACATATGTGTTCTTCTCCTATTCGAACGGCATTATGGATAGATGGATCAGGTCCAATGATTAATAATTGGAATGCAACATTTCTTAAAGCTACCTATGAAGGTGATTCAATGAGAACCGAAGGCGCCTTTTACACCCATTGTTCACAAGACTACAGAATACAATATACATCCATCAAAAATTGCACCAGTAGAGACAGCTTATTCCACAGCTGGTGGTCAGAAGGAAACTTAAACATGGAGAAAGTTGATTTTATTGAAAACGACTGCTTATGGTACGCTGTCATCTTCCTCAACAACTCTCACACAGCAAAGATTTACCTTAAGAGTTGCCTGTTTAAGCGAAATAGGGTTCAAAGGAATATATTCAAATGCGAAACAGGAAATGGCGATGCTGCCCAAATTGTTTTGGTCGACGCTGTTGCATCAGACAAATCTGTAGATTATAAAGAAGGAAATGTCGATGGTACTATCATGACAGTTCATGGCGACTATTCAACCAAAGAATTTACTTTCTTCGAGACTCAAAGATGTATGAATCAAAACATCCCATATCCTGAAAGAACCCCTCTAAAAACAGCAGTTCAGACTCCCAGAATAACTCCTTTAATTACACCAAGAAATACTCCATATATGACAGCACACAAAACACCAGTGAACACAGAGAGAGAAACCCCAGCATACACAGCAAAGGAAACACCTTATTTTACAAACCACGTAACTCCATTTATCACAAACAAAGAGACGCCTTATCTGACTGAGAAAGAAACACCACATGTGACTAATGCCGAAACGCCTTCATTTACTGCATTCGACACACCTTATTTGACTGAGGAAGAAACACCTTATCTGACTGCATTTGATACACCACATTCCACAAACGAAGAAACTCCATATTTAACTGAAGAAGAGACACCATTGCTTACTCCATTAGAAACACCTTATTTGACTGAGGAAGAAACACCTTATCTGACTGCATTTGATACACCACATTCCACAAACGAAGAAACTCCATATTTAACTGAAGAAGAGACACCATTGCTTACTCCATTAGAAACACCTTATTTGACTGAACACGAGACACCCTTTGAAACTGCTTTTGAGACACCATTTTTGACAAATGAAGAAACTCCATTCATTACAGAGGGAGAAACAGCTTTCGAAACTCCTTTTATTACAAACGCAGAAACTGCTTATGAAACACCATTCATTTCTAATTTTGAAACACCAGTGAATACTCCAGTTGTTACAGCTCATGATACACCATTCCAAACAAACTTTGAAACCTTTTATGAAACACCGCATTTGACAAACGAAGAGACCCCAATGATTACTTCATTTGAAACAAATCATGAAACACCATATATTACATTCGAAACAACTCCATTAGAAACTCCAATCCTTCCAAGAACATATCATCAAACAGAACAAGAAACACCATTCGAAACAGCATTCATTACTCCATTCGAAACAAACAAAGAAACTCCGTTCCAAACAAATATTGAAACTGTTTTCGAGACACCATTCGAAACAGCATTCATTACTCCATTCGAAACAAACAAAGAAACTCCGTTCCAAACAAATATTGAAACTGTTTTCGAGACACCATTCGAAACTGTATTCGAAACAGCAGTTGAAACACCATTCATGACAAACATAGAAACAGTGTTCGAAACTCCATTCATGACAAACATAGAAACTGCTTATGAAACACCATTCATGACAAACATAGAAACTGCTTATGAAACTCCATTCATGACAAACATAGAAACAGCAGTTGAAACACCATTTGGAACATTCTCTCGAACAATTTCTGAAACTGCAATTGAATAAATTCCAGTAACAATTTCTGGTGAAAATGGAAATAACAACAGAAACGTAAGTGTGAACACAGAGAATGCAGGTTCAAATACATTAACAAAGAAGAAATCATGGATATGGATTGTCATTGGAGTTGTTTGTGCACTACTATTGATAACAATCATCGTTGTTGTTATTGTAGTTTTGCACAAGAAAGATGAAGAAACAGATTCAGAAACAAGTGAACATGAAATGAATGAAGAAACTGTAATCCAGCCAGAAACTACAACAGAAGGTGTTACTATTGATAATCCTCTGTTCACAACATCCAACTGCGATTCAGACGATCCATTCAGAGGAGATTATCAAGAATCTTATGGCAAATTTAATAAACTTTTTTTGCGGTCATTTTTGTATTTATTTAAATCACTCAACAAATTCTTACAAAAACGTATAACAAATTTTATTAGAATAAAGCAATAAAAAATTTTTTTATGGATTCAAAGGATCAGATTTGCTGTAAACACGAACTCTTTTTGATTGTTTTATCATATCAATCACTATAATTATTATTGATATAATGCTTACGTAGGTGAAAGGCGATGCTATATTTGCGACAAACTTTCCAGTAATATACAAGAAGAAGTGCATTCCTATAGTCATAAACAGGAAAGGAATTGCAGATACAACTAGTTCAATATAATTTCTGTTTGATTCGTAGAAGTAAGAAGTGAATGTTCCGATACTCAAAACAAAAAGAATATTATACAAAATGAAAATAAAGAAAGTCAGTCCGAAGTAAGAAATATCTCCTTTGTATACCTGTCCATAAACAAAAATAGCGCTGTAGCCGGAATCAAGTCCGGAAACAAACAAAGGAATGAAATAAACAAAAACAGTATCGAAACAAATCACGTAATAAGAAAGATTTGGAACACGACGTATCTTCAAGAAATAATCAAGTATTCCATAACAAATTACCTGGTAGAACTTAATTTCTTCTCTCTTATTCATATATTCATCAAACATCAACAGTTTCTTATTGACTAAACCTATTCTCCAAAGAGGAATTATCCTGACTGTTGTAAGACGAGTTACGGAAAGTGAGGTGAACTGAAAAGTGACACTTGTATGGTCGGATAAATTCCCTATATATTTACTTGTCAAAAAAATCAGACTTTTTTTGCTTTAAAAAATTTATAAGTTAATTATTGAGAACGAAGGTGAAAGGAAATGGATATCTCTTACCTTTCATTCCCTCGAGAAAGTTCAAAAACTTGGGTGCAATCAGTTCTGATTGCACCCAAGTTTTTGAACTTTGTATAAGGAATTGTTGGCTATGATGCACTGATCATGAATCAGTACATCATAGCCAACAATTCCTTCGCAAACAGCGGGAAACTTTGTCCGAATAGTTTAACATTCGGACAAAGTTTCCCAACTTTCAAGCCGAAATTCGCGGATACCATTCACCAACTAGCTCTTGCTATGATGGTTATTAAAAATCAAGATCTATATTAAATTCAAAATTTACTCAAAGTCACTAATGTTCGATTTCGGAGTGTCAAATTCTCGTAAACGAAAAAAGGGATTTGACGGAGTCAAATCCCCGCTCACAAAAAGTGGACTTTACATGTCAAATTTTATATGCATGTAATGTCCACTTTTATGAGTTTTAGGAAGGAATTGGAAGCCATGAGTTACTGACATTGCATCAGTATCTCATAGCCTCCAATTCCTTCAAAAAATGGGAGAAACTTTGTCCGAATAGTTTAACATTCGGACAAAGTTTCTCCCATTTTAAGAAGGAATTGGAGGGTAAGAGATATACCATATGAATGTATATCTCTTACCCTCCAATTCCTTCTAGAAAGTGTCCAAACTTTGGGTTAATTGCAAACTATTAACCCAAAGTTTGGACACTTTCAAGTGGAGATGGAAGGCTTTGGGGTATATATTAATACAATATACCTCAAAGCCTTCCATCTCCACTACAAATGGGAGAAACTTTGTCCGAATAGTTTAACATTCGGACAAAGTTTCTCCCATCTTTCAATGTAATTGCTACCTGTGAGGTACTGACTTGAAGTCAGTGCTTCACAGGTAGCAATATCCAAAAATTTAAAAACATTTTATCAGTTCGTTAGAGAACTAGAGCCTCCTAGGTACTGAACCAGAATCAGTGCCTAGGGGACTCTAGTGATCTATATAAATCTGAGAAACTTTGAGGAAATTGTTCGACATTTCCTCAAAGTTTCTCAGCAATTTAGCGAGGAATGTTCGTTATCGTGTAGATATTTATAATATATGCATGATAACAAACATTCCCCGCTAAAAGATGTAAAATCTTATAAGAAATAATTGCAAAAGAATAACAAATTGCAACAAATTTTATATGAAACTGAACCTTATGAGGTAGTGATTCAAGATCACTGCCTCATAAGATTCAGTTTCAATCTCAAGTATCTCAAAAGTAAGGCTCTGTTTTTTGCCATGTAAAGTGTCATTTTTTCTGTCAAACCGTTTTTATCGTTTTCGTTTACAACAAAATTACTGTACTACAGTTGCTGCTTCTTCTGCAACTTGCGTATCTCTGTAACGAAGAAAAAAAAATATGTAAATGTTTTAAAAAGTAAGTGTTTATTCTTATTAATCTGACTGAGCTTAGTAAGAAGATGTAATCGATATTGTTAATTTGTGTTAAAAATTAGATTTTATTTTCGATTTTAAAATATTACCGAATTAATTTCTTTGATTGGCTCTCCTCTCGCGGAAATGTTGAAGAGAAATCCTCAAATCCTTAATTTCTCCATCAACTTTCCAAAGGGGTTCTTTGGTGGTATCATATTTTTCGCTGATATCATAAAATTTGTTTGGTGTAAACCAGGTATGTATTTCTGGATTTCTTGGTAACTGTGTATGTGGTGTTGCGTTATAATTTTCGATTAAATTTTGAATTTGATCCCAAGCTACCTCATCAACTTGAATATTCTGCCAAAATCTTTCGATTTTGCCATTCATGTAAGGGCAGTGTGGTATTATCGTGATTGATTCGACGTTTGCATTTTTTAGAGGCGTGCTGAACCGTTGGGTGGAAATTGAATACCCACACTTCAGCATGGACCCTTCTGATGGAGATAGACCCAACATGTATATGGATGAATATTAGGACATTAGGTATAGATGAACATATATAGGAATGAGGACCACCTTGGGTCAGCATCAGATATCGAATTTTAGAACCATCTAATTTTCATTCAATATTCTATAGGTGCAATGTATGTTTCCTATATATAAAGGTTTGATAATAGTTAGGTCTCAATATAGATCTTTGGTCCCAATTTATATTATGAATATCATCAATTTGTGTGTTTTTAACATTATATATTAGTATTGTGTTGATATAATGCTATATTATGTAGTGGTAGGTGTGTCTTGATATAAATTATGTTATTGATCGGGATATGAGTACAAATGCAAGTTATCCCGGGGTGAGGTCAGGGCTATCGCGTCCTAATTCATAGGAAGGGTTATCATGCCTAGTATGTGTGTGCTGTGCTATCCGTTTGTCCATTGGATGGCACAGCACACACAATCACAAGACAAAACCTCGAAGCGAGGAACAGTTCTTGTAAGGATGTGGTAACTATATACCTATCCTTACAAGAACTTGTATAGTGGAGCAATGTTTCGAATTGCTCCACTTTTCCTCCCATCGAGGTTATCCCGAGGTGAAGTCATAGCAATGGGGCTCATATTGATGGTGCACCATTGCTATGACTTGCACCTTCGTATGGTACTATCCATTATGAATTTTGAAATAATTTTGCAATTGAAATATCTTAAATTTAACAAAAAAGGCCGAGAAGGGGGTCCTTTCTCAAGGTCAGGGCCCCTTCTAGTCTTTCTGGTGTCGGAAGGAGTGGCTTTTGCCAGTATTGCCGCTCCTTCCGGCATCATCTTTGCATTTCGCAATTGTCGCGGCAAGTGCATTCTGGCACCACAGGTGCACTTGCCGCGACATATGATTGCGAGTGTCTGCTGCTCAGCCCCGGATTCGCAGCAGACACTCGCAATGCGAACCAAAGTTCGCCAGAAAGACCGGGAAGGGGGTCCTTTCTCAAGGTCAGGGCCCCCTTCTAGTCTTTCTAGAACTGTAATTTGACTTATTTTGCCGAATCTCAGGGAAAACCGTCCGTGATTTGAACGATCTCCTGAGATTCGGCAAATTTGATTGTAAGCGAGGCTCTGGCCTTTGCTTGGGCCAGAGCCTGTATTTGTATGTCTTTCAGGGCCGAGTTCCTGCGAGACGTCGACATGATCGACGATCATCGCAGAACTCGGCCCTGAGGATGAATTTTGCAGGCTCTGGCCTTTGCTTGGGCCAGAGCTTCGTATTTTCTACTTCCCAGGGCCGGATTCCACTCCTGCCGCCCGGGATAAGGGCGGCATTTGGGAAAGCCGGCCCTGGGGAATGTAAGCCATGCCCTGGCCTTTGCTATGGCCAGAGCCTGTATTTGCATGTCTTTCAGGGCCGAGAAGAGAGGAGATCGCCAATGATGTGGACGATCTCCCTCAAACTCGGCCCTGCGGATTGTATTTACAAGCTCTGGCCTCGGAAAAGGCCAGAGCTTCGTATGGACGTTCTCTCGGGACTGGATTCCTCTCCGGCCGCCCCGAATCAGGGCGGTCTTTGAGGAAGCCGGCCCCGAGGATTGTTTGCGAAGCTCTGGCTTTTCCTGAGGCCAGAGCTTGTGATTTTCGTTCAAAGCCAAGTTCCTCTCGGATCAGGCCTAATGAGGACGACCGTCGAGGAACTTGGCTCTGAGGGGATGAATTGTTGGCTCTGGCCTCGATGAAGGCCAGAGTTTTGAATGGAATGTTTTGATGGGATGAGCCTATGAGCAGTAAGCTCGTCCCATCAAAACATTCGTTTAAAAATTGAATTAAAAATTATCGTATGCATTCAAAAATTAAAACAATTAATATGTATAATATTATTATGTAATAATAGAATAAAATATATATAAAATTATGTAAAATTTTCAAAAAATATTGGAAAATGAAATTTTGAAAGAAAAAATAAGAGTTTGCATATGAAAAATTGATATTAGAAAAAATCTAGATTAGTAGAGTTAGATTATTTAGAATTTAAATGAGAAATGAATTATGAAAAAGGAAGATTAGAAAGAATTGTATATTTATAATTTAATAAAATGAAGGAATCGAACTAAGGAGTTTACAATTACAATACAATAGGACAATATATTGTAATTGTAAACTCCTTTCGAGAAACGATTTTCGAATGTGACATTCATGTCAAACAATTAAACAAATTTCTTATCTGAGTACATGTATGCAGGGTGCTATGGAAAGACCCTGCATATATGCACTCAGATCGGAAACTTTGTTCACGATGTCACATCGTGGAACAAAAGTGGACAATATTCCCGATCTGAGTACATGTATGCAGGGTGCCATGGAAAGACCCTGCATATATGCCATCAGCATCCAATTAACAAAGTATTTCATAAAGTATGCGTTCCAACCATATTTATTTGCTCAGTTGCGTTGCTTTTCAATCTTCATCCAATAATTTTAGGATTATTCACTATTGGAGCCGCAATATTTTATTTTTCGCTTTCTCTCAAAGTAATGCTTGGGATGGCTGCATTCTTTTCTTGCATTGTCACATTTTTAGTTTTTTATCCTGTTACCTGGTGGGTTTGGCTTTTAATCTTTGGAATAGCTTGGGTAGGGCAATTTATTGGACACCATGTTGAAGGTAAAAAGCCATCATTCTTTACAGATCTCCTGTTTTTATTAATAGGCCCTGTTTGGGTCTTCTATTCTATACTTGGAATAGCCCCACCACCACAAAAATCAGAATAAATACTATCTTTCTTAAATTTATACATTTTTATTACCATTACATCGCATTCCACATTTCAGAAATCATCACAGGCTTCCAGAATTAATACTGAAATCTTATGATTACGGCATTAAATTTTTAATGTCATTTTAAAATATGCTGCGGTTTCAAAATAAAAAATTATAATATTCACCCGAATTTGATTGCTATTACAGAAATCAAATTTCTTGCTCAATGTTATCACAATTCTTAAACAAGATCGCTTTTTAAACATGTTTGAAATGGTGAAATTTTGCTACTATGATAATGAATGATTTTATGCTGAATTCTAATCATACATAGAATGTTTATCTTATTGCTTGATAAACACTGTTATTGATTGTTCATATAATTTTTCCAGATTGAAATAATTGGATTATTCAAAATCCAATGTTAAAATACATATATATACTCATATCATAATTATAACATCAAGTTTTGGCCATTGTAGTAGCGTTATGAATTCATTTCATAAGTTGACTAAGAGACCAAATAGCGATTTTAGTAGGAATTCACATTAAATATGGAATGGCAAACTTATTTTCAAGATAAATGGTCACTCTACATATAATCAGTTTTAAAATTCTGGCACGTTTTTGTCATTCAAAAACTATATTCAATCAAATTTGAATTAAAATTTGACGATATGCGAAAATTGAGGAAAATTCCCAACTGTCATTTCATTTTATATTTATCACAAGATGCGTCGCTCAGCCTGCATTGATGAAGACTTTGCCATGTTTGTCAATGAGCTTCAATTATTGGAGCAGAAGTACAACGAAGGTACAGCCGAATCTAAGCAACAAATCAGAAATCATTTCCAAGACTTAATTCTCAACTGCAAGAAGCACATGGGCGATGACTTACCATATGCAACATCCTTTGGAGTCAACCGACGTTTCGTTTCTTTCTACCAACCCCGTCTGAAACTTCTGAAGAAGACAATACTGAGACTCAGATAGTATTTAGTGTCTAATTCTCTTGTTTTATTTGTGTTTGTTAGTATTAAATATATCGTTTCGGTAATTAATTATGGATTTTTTTTTTTATAATTTCAATTTCATTGAGTATTTTCAATACTCAATGCAGTTACTTGGAAGAACTATCATCATTACTTCTTGAATTTGAAATCTAACTGAAAATAGAGATACTACGTTATTGGCTCGGATTTTCTTTTTAATCGAAGGGATCATAAACTACTTCATTAAATTTCTTCATTACCCAATAAAATTCATCATATTATACAAGCAATACTAAAAAATCTTTGTCGAATACAAAACCATGACATTAGAGATAAGATATATCACATCAGTGGAATGATTCTCATTGCGTACAATAAGAAATTTCCTTTTCCAGATTTTTTTTGTCAATTTTCAAATTTTCATTATCAAATATCTTGTTTAACCAATTCACTTATCACGTTTATTAAGCTAAGGCTAGAAATGATATGAAATTCTTCATTTATTTTGTTTTGAAATTTTATCATTTGATATGGAATCAGACTGCCATTCTTAGAGAACAAAATTATCTACACTTTTGGGATTGGTTAAGATATGCTTTATAGAACTCTTATATTCAATAAATTATCGTAAACCTTTTCGAACCGGCATTTGACAATCTGACATATTGAAAAACCTTAAATGCAAAATCTAAATCGAATAAAATGGTATATCTCAATCGAAGCTGTTCGAATTATTGAAATTCTTGTGCTTCAAATGAGGTTGAATTTTCTCCTCAATATTCAATTCTTCTCAAAAAATCTAAAAATCAATTAAATGATTGGGTTATTGTTTGCTCTTGCTTTATCAAGAGTATCACATCACCATCATTCCTATCGCAGACATAGGATGTATGAGACAAACGGTGCAGGATCTGGCGTTGTTTATGGATCAGGTATAGGTGTAAATATTCGTAGCGGACCCGGCACAGGATATGGTGTTATCGCAGCAGTTGCAGACGGAACAACACTTTCTGTTACTGGCCATAGCTCTAATTGGTGGCAAGTTTCTTACAATGGTCAAACAGGTTACGTAATTTCCGATTATTTGAAAGTTTCCGGTTCTGTTTCAGGAACTGGTTCCGGTCTCAATGTACGCGCTGGTCCAGGCACAAACTATGCTGTTGTTGCAGGACTTTCTGACGGAACATCCGTTACAATCACTGGAATCAACGGCGATTGGTACCACATTTCCCAAGGTTATGTTTATTCTCAGTACATCTCCCTTACATCATCAGGTACAAGTGGTGGTGGCGGCGGCTCCTCAGGCGTTGTCATCAGGCAAGGAGATGCAAGATTCAACTCCAACATCAGAACATGGGGCTGCGCTTTCATGTCAATCTGCTGGTGTGAAGGAGTCAACTCGATCGATGGCTGCAATGCTAAGTACAACCAGGCTGTTGCCGCAGGATGGATGTCGGCCTCATGCTACATCAACAACTGGGATTCAATGAAGACAATTGCTGGAGCTAAAACATACCGTTATGGTGCTCAATGGGCAACTGCTGCATCCAATGAAAAGGAAATTCTTCAATGCGCCAATTCCAGAACAACAATGCACTTCGTTGTTGGTAACAAGAACAATGGAATTGAGTATGATCCAGCTTATGACGGTTTTGTTTCATACTCAGATCATCAGTCAAAGAGATTCTACGGATACTAAACGATTTAAGTTAAAATCTGTTTTAACACGAAAATTCTTTATATTTCACAAAAATATTAAGGCAATTTTTTAAAATCTTTAAAATTATAAAACTTGATGCAAGAAAAACTCTATTCTATTATATGATAGTATAATAACTAATGAAAGAAAAAAAAAAAAAAAAAAAAAAAAAGGCAGTGGGGCTTCCAGGCACTTCGTGCCTTCTAGCCCTGAGGATGAATGAGTATAAATGAAGTCTTGACAAAGTCTTTACGAAGAAGTCTTGACAAAGTCTTTACGATGAAATCTCAACAAAATATTTATGAAGAAGTCTTGACAAAATATTTATGAAGAAGTCTTGACAAAGTCTTTACGAAGAAGTCTTAACAAAACATTTACGAAGAAGTCTTGACAAAGTCTTTACGAAGAAGTCTTGACAAAGTCTTTACGATGAAGTCTTTACGAAGAAGTCTTGACAAAGTCTTTATGAAGAAGTCTTGACAAAGTCTTTATGAAGAAGTCTTGACAAAATATTTACGATGAAATCTCAACAAAACATTTACGATGAAGTCTTGACAAAGTCTTTACGAAGAAGTCTTGACAAAGTCTTTACGAAGAAGTCTTGACAAAGTCTTTACGATGAAGTCTTGACAAAGTCTTTACGAAGAAATCTCAACAAAGTCTTTACGATGAAATCTCAACAAAACATAGACAAGAAAGTTCATGAGTGTAAATGACCCAAAAATATATTTTAGGGTAGAAGGGTATATCTACCCCGTTTTCTACCCTCTTTTCTACCCTCGTGAATTTTCATGAAATTTATACAGAATTCAATAAAAATATATTTTAGGTGAAGAGGTGAGATTTCACCTGTTTTTTCACCTAATTTTTCACCCTCTTGAATTTTCATGAATTTTACACCAAAAATATACTACTAGGGTCATTTATGAAGAAATCTCAACAAAGTCTTTACGATGAAATCTTGACAAAACATAGACAAGAAAGTTCATGAGTGTAAATGACCCAAAAATATATTTTAGGGTAGAAGGGTATATCTACCCCGTTTTCTACCCTCTTTTCTACCCTCGTGAATTTTCATGAAATTTACACCAAAAATATACTACTAGGGTCATTTACGAAGAAATCTCAACAAAGTCTTTACGATGAAGTCTTGACAAAGTCTTTACGAAGAAGTCTCAACAAAGTCTTTACGAAGAAGTCTTAACAAAGTCTTTACGAAGAAGTCTTAACAAAGTCTTTACGAAGAAATTCATGAAAATTCAAGAGGGTAGAAAAGAGGGTAGAAAACGGGGTAGATATACCCTTCTACCCTAAAATATATTTTTGGGTCATTTACACTCATTTACGAAGAAGTCTTAACAAAGTCTTTACGAAGAAGTCTCAACAAAGTCTTTACGAAGAAGTCTTAACAAAGTCTTTACGAAGAAATTCATGAAAATTCACGAGGGTAGAAAAGAGGGTAGAAAACGGGGTAGATATACCCTTCTACCCTAAAATATATTTTTGGGTCATTTACGAAGAAGTCTCAACAAAGTCTTTACGAAGAAGTCTCAACAAAGTCTTTACGAAGAAGTCTTAACAAAGTCTTTACGAAGAAATTCATGAAAATTCAAGAGGGTAGAAAAGAGGGTAGAAAACGGGGTAGATATACCCTTCTACCCTAAAATATATTTTTGGGTCATTTACGAAGAAGTCTCAACAAAGTCTTTACGAAGAAGTCACAATAAAACATCTGTCAAAAACCGCTTTTTAACTTCACTTAAAATGCCACGTAAGCTACGTAAGAATATACGTAAGAGGAAGAGAGCATTGAAACATCCAATAGTAAGACTGAACCACACAAACAGTTGCAACAACAAATGCTGAATGACCCCACTATGTTGCAACAAATGTCAAGCAACCCTATGCTTTTAAACCGAGTTATTGGTGCACAGAGTGGAGGTTTAAGAGCGGCACTTTAGCGAAAATGGCAGGCTATGGTGGAGCTGCAGACGGAACAGCCTATAACCCTCAAAGTCAAATGAATTTGAGTTCACTCAAAAATCAAATAGCAGATGTCAAAAAGTCAAACATAGACATACAGAAACAAATAAGTGAAAACGAAAAGAAACTAGAATATGACAGACACACAAAGAAACTCAATGAGTTAAACGTAGAGAAAAGAAGAAAGAAGAACAACTGAAAGAACTAAGTACAGAGGAATATGCGAAAAAAGTGTCAGAAAAAGCAGCAGAAGTAGCAAAAATGGAACAAGATGTCATAAATTTGAAAAACCATACTACTCAATATAAAATACTGAAAGATGAAGAGATAAAACAAAAAGCCCTGAAGACATATATGGATAGCGATGAGTATAAAAAGGAAGTTGAAGCAAATGTAAAGGCAGAAAACTTTTACAGTTGCAAAACCAAACCGTACAGTATGAAAACTTAGCACAAGAAAGTAAAAATAACGACGCAGCCATGCAAAAGGCAATGAAAAGCTCAGAATATATAAAAGCTAACAATGACTGGTTAGATGCCCAAGCCAACGCTAAAGCAGCCCAGCTTATAGGGTCAATAAGGACAAAAATACAAGCGGATGAAGACAGTTCAAATGAAGCTTTAACAAATGCTGACTTTAAGAACGCCTTCGAAGCTCTTCATAGTAAGGTGAAACAAGTGAACGACTTCTCATCTGGAAAGAAACTGAAGTCTGAAGGTTTCGACAAAGAGTTAAGAGAAGTAGCACAAAATATGACGAAAATAACAGATACAGCAACGAGACAGGCAGTTCAAAGTGCCTATGACGCCGTTAGAGCAACTGTTGTGGAAAGTCAAGAAAAAGAGTTACAACAGACCAAAAAAGACCTAGTAAATGCTTTCTTAAGAACGAAAAGTCAGGTAGGACATTATGCTGCAGATGGAACATATGTGCCAGCTGGTGGAACTTATATACCAGCTGGTGGAACTTATATACTAGCTAGTGGAACTTATATACCACCAAACCCTCCAAGAGAAGCACCTGCACCAGGACTACCTAAAACATTTACATCGTCACATGGACACAGACACAGGCATGCACCACAACAACAACCAACAATTCAAAATCCAGCACAACAACCAACAGTTCAAAATCCAGCACAGCAACCAACAGTTCAAAATCCAGCACAGCAACCAGCACAAACAGAGCAAGGACATAAAAGAAGTAGAGAACAAGGAAACCAAGAATTCTTAAAAATGCTTAAAGAAGAGTGTGGTTTCCCAGATAGTATTGACTTTAGTGACAGATATAAAGAAGCTATTGGAAAGTTCAAGGATGGAAATACTGACCCGAACCTATTTAGCTTTATGGCTCAGCACCAAAACGGATATAATCTCAAACCTGGAAAATACAAGCTCGCTAAGGGATATGATTTAATAGCATATCATCCAAATGACATGGATGAATTTACTCCGAGATATTTGATGTCAGAGCTAAATGACAATTCAACTTTCGTCATGAAACGCGTAAAAAATAGAGACGGAACGAAAGAACAAAAGCTTATGAATGCGGATGACGTAGATAGGGAAATTGTTGAAAACGGTCTCGGAATATATGAAATGCCAGCAGATGAGGTACAAGAAACTCCACAGGAAGAAGTTCAGATACAACCAGACATGGAAGAAATAGTTCAGCAACAACAGCTAGAAGAGCCTGAAGGAAACGAACAAGTCACTCCTTTGGAAACTAACTTCACAGAACTAGATGAAGATTTGGAACAGCCGAAAAATCTTGACCCTCAACAAGAGTATGCGGAGAATATGGAATATTTCCAAGAGTCTAAAAAAAATTCGGCTGACATAGTAGAAGAATATCGAAAAATGTTTGCCGACATACAAAAGACTCCAACACCAGATGAAAATATTCAGCATAGAATGGAAGAACTGAAAAAAAATGTACACAAATACAACAACCCTTTTTACTTACGAGCATTTAACGTTCAATCTTCGGATGAACTCGGTGAAGATAAAAGGTTAAATTTCAAGAAAACATATAGAAATGAAACATTGTTTAAAGTTCATTCAGAACCTAGCCAAGATGGAAACAAACCTACTTTTGTTTCTGCAGACGATGGAACTACAATGAGATGGGGTCATAAAGCTAATCCAGATAGGTGGTTCATAAACTTACAACCACAATTCCAAGAAGTTGTAGACGCAATGGAAGTCAATGGTGAACCAGATGTAGCTGGTATTTTCAGCGCGGCTTTAATGCCATTGAAAGATATGAAAGATGCAGATATTTTGAACCAGTATGAAATGAACATGGCTGATGGAAATATAACACCTGACGTTCTAGAACATTTATCTCAAAGAACTACACAGAACCATAGAGATGGTATATTTGGTGAAGAGTTTAGAAAGAAAGTTAGGGAGAGCGAAGGAAGAGAACCTATTGTACATGACCTTGCAAACGAAAGTTTGCAAAATGTCATAAAAACTTACTTTGCAGACAATGAACTGAGAAGGGATGAATATTTAAGAAAACTCAAATGGACAGTACCAAATGAAATGTTAGTATTGAAAAACATGTTCCTTGACAAAATAAAACCAACTACAGAAATAAACGACGCAAGACTGAAAGATTGGGTAAAAGCTTTCCCATTCACAAAAGATATTGTTGGTAACATGGAAAGAAAACCAGAATGGCTACAAAAACATATATTTGGAAACGAGCATATTCCATATGGACAGGCACTGTTGAAGAGCTTGAACCAGAACTCAGGAAAGAGTCATGCAAACAATACGCAAAGACTCAAATACAGACTATGACAAAATCTTTCTAGGGATATAGGTTACCTGAGATGGGCGACCAGAGCCAAAAGGCAAAAAGGACATGGGAAATTTGCAACATACTAGATGAACATAATGCAAAGATGCAACAACTTCAAGCAGAGGGCAATGAAGGAAAAAGAAGAGTTAAAAACTCAGTCAGGAAGAAAGTAAAGCTTGGTCCACGTGGTTCTATTATGACATATAAATCCAACTATTCTATATTTTTACTCATATGAAATGTACGCCGCTCAGAATATAACGCCAACAGTTTTGGATGCTATGAATGGAAATGTTTCCGAATGGTATAACGAATGCGACAATGCCATTAGAAGGTCAGAAATAGTTCCTGGAACTTACGAATATACAACTGCTGTTTCTTATGGAAACGTAGGTGAGTTTGGAGAAGGTTCTTCAACAACAAGATATTGCTTGCGACAGGTTTCATATAATTTTTATTGACAACTCTTTCTTATACGTGGAACAAGACATTGAAATAAAACCTTCTGCCAAGTTGTCTGACAAGAAAGGTTGCAATGGAATTTTCTATGTCGGATACCAATATGCTCCAGAAGTTTTCATGGGATATAAGATATATTCTAACTCTGACTTAGTTCAAACAGTAACATGGGCAAACTATGAATGGTTCGCTTTGAGAAACTCAGTACAACCACAAGCTAGAGAACAAACAGACCAGTATGCAACTATTGAGAAAATAAGAAGACTTGACCCTAACGTTCCAGGAGTTTATGTTAACCTTTCTGGTTCAGATGGAAATGCTGTCACTAAAGTAAAACTGAAACTTAGAGTTCCTTTGTCATCTTTCCTCATCTTCAGGTTTTTAAGATACTTGCCAAACTGGGCAGGAAAAATTTCTATCGAACTTACTCCAAGCAAAAATAACTTAGTCATTGCACCAACACAAGACCCATTCACTCTTACAGACGTAAAGGGAACAAATAAAACGTCATTCGCCGAATTTTGCAAAGACAAAGTTGACTTAGACTTTGGTTTCTCAAACCTCAACACTGAAGTAACTATTATTTCAATGCTGCTGGAGATGCTTGGGACCCAGTTAAGTTCACATGCGAAAAGTTTGAATGAAGAGAATAGAAAGCAGACTTGCAGTCTATATGTTGGACCCAGATATTTCAAATGCTTTAGCTGCCAAATATATTGCAGTTCCACTTATTTCCCTATACACCAAATATCTGTCAAAGACTTTGCAGGTGAAGTTGGAAACCAAAGTGCTGACCCAGGAGCAGAACAGATATTGCTTTAACAACTGCAATGAAACATGCAGATACTATGTTTGTACTGTTCAGACGAACTATAAATGACTATTCTTGCTTCTACAACCCTGTATTAAATACCATAAACATAGATGGCAAATATTATCCAAGAGAAGAATATTCTACAGTGGGATATGAAGGTCATACAACTTGACATTAGATGCTATGAACTTTAACAACAACTTCACACAACCATTAACCCTGAAATGCAAAGTTCTATTATGCCATATGTGAAAGTATGGACTCATACAGGAAGGTCAAAAAACTCAATATACAAATGGAGACCGTTCAAACTTTTGGCTTGGCATTCCATTTGCTGACTCAGAAGACTTTATGGGTGGTATTTCAACTGTTGGTACAGTTCAAATACAATATACTGGTGACAGAGACGGTCCAGATGAACTGAGAGCAAAGAAGTTTACAAAACCAATAGCACTTTTCACGGAAGATGCTCTTTTGAAGATTCGTTCGATGAAACCTGCTGGGGCTCCTCAGATTGGCATAACGACAGCTTCCATCGAGCAGATTTTGGCAGCAGGTCAGTAAGTTGTTCTTGAACTGACTTCTCTCCGTCAAATATTGACAGTACGCCAGTTTTGACATAGTATTGTATTAAAAACTTACCTTTAGAAAATCGGTCAGTTTTGTTGTTATATTTTTGTCTGCTTCAAGAACTTTCACCATCTCGGTTATACCAACTTTCTTTGCTTTATGAAAATATTTTGTTCAGCAAAGACTGCTATTCTATAACATTTTCCATTGTTTGTGTAAAGAACTATTCTGTCAATGAACTTGTATTGTTTGTGTGGTGTAAACTTTGTTCTGCTTCAATTCGAAGAGATACTCGAATACGTCCATCTTTTTATTCTAAGTAAAATGTCATTTCCGAAAAATAGAAGCGTGAGTGTTTCAAAAGGTTTAATGGCGGTGGCAGATGTGAAGTTAAATTCACCAACTCAAACAAAACAGTCAAAGTGTTGTTGTCAATGTCAAAGAAAGAGATGTTGAAGTGGGAAACCATACGAAGACGAAGATGGTATAACAATAGTTCCTGTAAAAGAACAACCAACATATCCTGAAGTTAGCAGAGACTTAAGTTCTGTTGCAGATATTCGAAACGACTACAACAACTTAAAGACAAACTTAAAACTCAGGAGAAGATTTTGTCAAGCTTTGGGTATAATGTTAAACTTGGTCGAACACAACCCTGTAAAAGTGAACTCATATGTCATCGCACCTCATGAAATTTTGAAGAACTATTGAAACTTTTGACAGAGGCAGACGATATAAACATCAAAGAAATAGAACCCGACATTGCTTGCTGTGGTGTTTCATATAATGTCATTGACAAGATATACGTTATGAAAGGAGGTGAAACGTTGAACTTAAAATATAGTTTCCCAGACGTCATAAAAAATATTTGACGACCACAACATTTCATTAAAATTTAGTTGCTAAGTAAATGGCAGAAGACATAATGGTTTATACTATTACGACTAAAAACCTGAGTCATATAATTCTATACAACAAACTTACAAAGTCCTCAAGGACGATATTGTAACTGACCTTAAACACAATGACGACTAAAGCTGTTTGCTCTTTTACACCAGAAGACTTTATTGTTGTGAATGGTAAAAAATACTCCTTTGAAGATACTTACTCAGATATACCACCAACAGGTTTTGTTGACTTATTTAATACTTTAAGGACGGATGTAACATGTGCTGCAACTAGAGCAGGTTTCATTATGTTTGGATGTCCGACTGAGTTTACTATAAACGATATGAGCTATAATACAAAACTTATATCTGGTTTTTACTACAACAGTTTCCTATAACAGGAAAAGGTGTCATACAAGGAATGTCTATTCCATTGACATTAAGCACACCTATTTATATATTGTTTCAACTTAGGTTCAAAGTGCTATTCGAATGTCGACAGAAACTATTATGACCAAAAGATACTTATGCGTATAAACAATACTTTCTCTGCTGGTTTGCCTATTTTCATTCGAATGCAGAGTTTTCAGCTTTAGTAAACTCAAACACTTTAGCAAACATAAACTTAACCTTAGTCGACGCAAACTTTGTCCTGTAAAACTTTTATGTCCTTGTATTTGTCAATGACGGCAGAAAGTTTCGAATTGGAAGATGCAACTGGTGAAAGTATTGTATTACAAGAACAACTTCAACAACAAATAGCTCAAGAACAACAAATCAACAAATGCAACAACAAAGTCAAGAATAAAAAAAAATATTTTTTTATTTTTATAAAAATGTACAGAATAGATGTTTCAGATTTTATGACTTCCAAGCATTCAGAAATATGTTCCATTTTCGAGACTATAAACAAAGCAGTCGAGAATTTGAAACGTTTAGTCATTTATGTCGACTCTGCCCAGAATGTTATGTTATGAAAGAATGGGATGTTGTCTTTAACAAACCAAGAGCAACAATAGTTTCAGAACAAGAATGTAGACAGAAACTTAAGAAAATAAAAGTCTACAGGTTGGAATGAAGATGTTAGATGCTTGGGATATCTTATTGTCAAAGTTAGAAGATTTTTCAGTTCGTATAAAAGTTTTATACACCTTCTCCAAACTTCTATTCTATCTTCACTGGATATAAATACGAACAAGTAAATGGAAAGAAAATGTTATAGAAGCTTGAGACCATGTCAAAGAAATTATATGCAATGGAAACGAAAGAGTCATCATGAGTATATCTTATGTTGGTTTGCAAACATCTTACAATATCCAAGTGCTAAAAAAACTGCTCTCATTATAATTGGAGAAACAAGGAACTGGTAAGAACACTTTCTTTACAGATATCTTATGCAAACTGTTAGAGGGCTATTCGAACCCTAATATGACAAACTTAACATCTGCGGTAAATTTAACTCTTCAATAGAGAATATGAAACTTATAGTATGTAACGAACTTCAAAGTATAGATACAACAAAGGTTTTAAACTCAGATGCTTTGAAGAGTCTTATAACAGACAAAGTTGGAGTTGTTGAAAGAAAATAAAAGACCAAAGAGTTTGTGAAAATGTTGCAAATTCATCATGGTTTCAAACAATGTTGTTCCGATGAAGTTAGAAAGTTCTGACAGAAGATATGTAGTTGTCAGAACGTCAGATTCTCATATGCAAGATACAGAATATTTTGACGACTTAGCAGAAACTTTGACACTAACTTTTACAACCACTTGTTCTCATATTTCATGACATTAGATATTTCAAGTTCAATCCAAGACAAATTCCATATACCGAAGAGAGACAAACATTGTTAGAAGCAAACAAGAGTGTATATGAACTGGTTTATAGATGAGACTAACTTTGAGTGTTTAGATGAAAGGTCATTGTACGATCATATAAACAGTATTGTCAGAGTATTGGTTATATGGCAGCGTCTAAACGAACAATTCTTGGCAAATGTCAAAAATCTTTTAGACATACAGAACGGCGTATATAAAAAAAATTTTTCTGAGTAAATTTAAAAAAAATATTTTTTTATCCGATAGAAAAGATGACGAAATATATTTCAGTCAACAAGTACATGACAGAAGTCAAAGAAGAACTAGACCCATTTCATATATTTGAATGTTTACTTCTACCATTTTGAAAAGTCTACATTTGACAAAGTTTGGAACATCGAACCAGTTAAGTTGCTATTGTGACTAAAAATGGTGCGAAATTTGAAGACTTA